CTGCTAGTTGGGGTTTAGTCCAAATCTGCATCCTTTCCTTCAAGGCTCAGGGGTCCAAGATTATCTTCTGTGTCTGTGTTAATTGGTTTCCCTTTTCTTAGTTGAAGAGGGTCTGTGCAATCCTTCTGCCTAGTCCGCCATCTCTACCCGCCTCTAAGGCTGTAAATCTTTATGGAAGTAGATAGCCATATCTTTCTCCTGTGGAGTGGCTAGTAGATTCAAACCACTGACCTTTCTGTTTGCAGAAAAGCACTTCAGTCACTGTGCCACAGGACTCCAACAGAAACTCAGTACCCCTTAAACGATAACTCCTCTTTTTCCCCTCTCTAGCCCCTGGTAACCACTAATAAACTTCTGTACTTATGCATTTGTTTATTCTAGATATTTCATATAAGTAGGATCATATGATACTTGTCCTCTTGTATCTGACTTATTAAACTCAGCATAATGTTTTCCTAATTCATTTATGTCATGGCATGTGTGTTAGGCTGAGTTCTCTAGAGAAACAAAAGCAGTAAAGCTTATATATACATATAGAGAAAGAGAAATTTATCTTAGGAAAATGGCTCACACACTTATAAAAGTTGGCAATCCCAAGTTCTTTGATCAAACGTCAAGCTGGAGGCGTTTCCCGACTCACACAGCTGCAGGGGCTGATGAGCTCAAGGTTGGCAGGCAATACCAGCTGTTGACGCCAACAAATGACAAATGCAGCATCTCCAGGCCAAATGCTGGATTGTTTGTTCACGGACAGTTGTAGGCAGCACAACAGGATGCCGATCCACAGAAGAGTGTATCTTTTCCCAGGATGTCCATAAATAAACTGGAAGCAGGCCACACCCCTAGGGAAACTCCCTTTCACCAGATTGGCTGCTCCATATGTATATATCTGATCCCATCATGGGAACAACCCACATCACAATTGCTTAAACCACACAGAACTGTGGTCCAGCCAAGTTGACACACAGTTCCAACTATCATAGCATGTATCAGAGCTTCATTTCTCTTTATAATTCTTTTTTTTTAATAATTTATTTTTATCAATTAAAAATTGGTGTCCTTACAGGTTATTTTTACTTTTAAAACATTTACCATTGTGTGCTCCATTCAACGTATCATTTTTTTTACCCGCTGGAGGGCTCCTACTAAAATAGATACTTTCTTGGTATGGCAACTGTGCGGTTAACTCTTTTTGTGCTTTTAAGTTGTAACTCCATAATAAGAAATACACTGTAACCCAGCATTTATGTATATATACATGTGAATGTATATCCCAGACCCACTGCCTTTAAGTCAGTTCCAACTCATAGTGACCCTATAGGAAACTTTCCAAGGCTGTAATCTTTATGGAAGCAGACTGCTATATCTTTTTTCCTGCTGAACCACTGAGTGAGTTCAAGCCACTGGCCCTTCGTCAGCAGCTGGTTGCTTAACCACTTTGCCACCAGGGCTTCAGCATAAAGAATAGGCCAGTATTTTTAACCAGATGATACTTTGAACACAACGGACTATAATGGGGAAAGAAAAAAAACAAAAAACCTGTTGCCATTAAATCAATTCTGACTCAGGGTGACCCCACATGTTACAGAGTAGAACTGCTCCATAGGATTTTCTTGTTTATGATCTTAGCAGTTCCCCAGGCCTTTCTTCCACAGAGCTGCTGAGTGGGTTTGAATGCCAGCCTTTGGGTTAGCTGCCCGTGACAAACCAGCATACTGTGGTCCTTCCTAGTTGATTCATAGTTAGTACTCAGGTTTCACATGAGTAATACTTTTGTTTATTAATTTGTAACACAGCAATTTTGATTCTGTGTAAGGGCACAATTAGAGAATGAAAAGAAGAAAAGAGAAATAGCAGAAAAGGAAAAGGAAAGAATAGAACGTGAAAAGGAAGAATTAATGGAACGTCTAAGGCAAATTGAAGAACAGACAATGAAAGCACAGAAAGGTAAGAGTCTCTTTTTGACAGTGGATTCAACATTGTTGCTCTGTTAATTATATTGTGTATTTTCTTACTATTATTTACTCTTATTTGTCTTATGTAGAATAATTGCATTTAATTTTGGCAAATTTATACTTAACCAGGGTCACATTATAAACATGTTTGACTAAGGCAGATTCAACAATACAGTGCATATGTGTTCTTTCCCTTTTGTTCACTTAAATATGCAAATATTTTACATTTGTCCTTTTACATATTATGACTGTATATATCCTATTATAGTTCATGGTTTCATAAGCAGAAATACATACTCAGTGCTTTGTGGCATTTAAACAAAATTGTTTTTGCAATAAATGGGCATTTAAGTACTTCAAGGAATTTTAACATATTGTCATTATATAAACTTGATAAACTGACATTGGAGCCTATCTTAAAAAAGATTTGATCTCATTATATTAGAAAATATACAATACATAGTGTTTTGTTTATTGTTTGTTCTTTTGGTAACATGTTTGTAAGAACCTGGCTCCTAGGCGGTTTTTAATGAAGATACTAAGATGTATAGACAAGATACGTTGGATTTATAAAGTGTAGTTTATATTTGGTAACTCTAGTATTTGCTATATGTGAACAAATAATGGGGAGAACAAAAAAAAATGTATTGAGCAAAATAAGATGTTTTGCTTCTTCCTAAACAGTGGGATCTCAAGGGGTAACATGAAATCTACTTACAAAACTAGATTTAATACCATGTAATAGAACCAGCCATTCAGATCTATTGGAATAGCCAGTAATCTATTTAAAGTTTATTTCTATTTATTTCACTAAGCTACCTTGCTAGGAAGATGTCCTTAAGTAGTGGATAGAATAAATTTGCATGTAGGTAGCTGAGAGAAGTCACAAAGATGATTGCTTTTAATCCACAAACTAGTTCACCATTTTAATTCCAAGAGATTGGAAATACTATTTCTAAGAGAAGAAATAGATGCTGAATTTTATTCTGACTCATTAGAAGGCTTACTTCTCCAAACTAGAAAAACACCTAGAAACTATTTAGTTGAAAATACTAGAGTAGTAAAGATACTGACTTTAAGTCAGTCAAGGGCAGACTTGTTCCCTAAAATCCAAATTGATGCTATTTCTACGTAAAGGAACTTTAGGTTCCTTTCATGTGTCTGTGTGTGTGTGTCTCTGTGTGTGTATTTATATATGTAGTTATGTATGTGTATGTATGTATAAATACATGCATATAAATGTTGTTGTTAAGTGCTGTTGAGTCGTTTCCGACTCATAGCGACCCCATGCACAGCAGAACGAAACACTGCCCAATCCCGCGCCAGCCCCACAATCCCTGCTATACT